GGAGGTGGCCCTGCCTGCCCTCTCCGGCCAATGGTTTGCGGGGAGCTCTGGAGGCAGCAGGCTGGGCCCCAGGAATCCTGAGGCTTGGGCCCTTCCCACAGCTGGACCGGCGGAAGCAGGGACAGGCTCTGGCCCGTCTGCGGCAGCGGATGAAGACGGAGGTCTGGGAGACGCAGAAGGCCCTGGACGAGCTGCTCTTCAAATGCCAGCTGCAGGTCAGCCGGGCCATGGCCGAGGCGCACACACACGCCCACTCCCTGCCCAGGTGCCCAGGGCAGCACGCCCCTCCCTCGAGGAGCTCGTGGCCCTTGGAAGATGGATGCGACTCTCTTGCTGCGTGGGGGCTGCCTGCCTTTGCAAAAGGTCAAGTTGGGGAGGGTGCAGACGTGCTGCCTCCTGAAATGTGGACCCTGCCTGAGCCCCACAGAGGAGAGCGCAGCAGCCTTCCAGAGGTCTGTAGATAGGCTACGTGTGACGCTTTCTCTGGAAAGGGTCCTGGGGGCTCCTGGCTGGGGTGACAGATGACCGTCTGAGCCTTCCACCTGCCCATGTCCTGGGGTAGTTGGCACCTGAGCCGCGGGCGCTCCATTGGAGCTCACGAGCTGAGGTGTGCGGGACGCTCATTCTTGTAACACAGGCAGGTGTGCCCAGGAAAGGCAGGGGACCCACACCTCCGAGCGCACCCTGCTCCGCCCCTGCACCGGACCCATCAGACAGGCAGCACTGGCTGGTTGGGGTGGTACAGATGGTACCCAGCCCGGGGCCGGAGGGGCCAGGACCGGGAGGCTGGCTATGTCTGTGATGCGGTAGGACATGTAGAACCTTCACAGAAGTGGCTCTTCTCTGTGCCTTTGGTCTGGGGACTGTTGGTGGGATGTGGTCATTCATATTCAGGGCGATGCTTCCGGGAGAGTAACTGAACCGAAGGGAGCATGTGGGCATGTGTGTGCACATGCGTACAGGTGCCCTCAGACCACAACGGCACAGGCACACCTGGTCTCTCCTCCTGTTTCCAGCATCGCACCTGCTGGGTAAGTGAGGTCACAGCAGCCGGGACACTGTGGTTCCCCAGGTGTCCTTCACACAGCCGGCCCTGGCTGCCCGATCCCCCACACTGGGGGGCTCCAGCACTGGCCTTGCTCTGTCTCTGCTGGGTACCTGCCACCCTTCCCTCACCCCTGCCATGTCCAGCTCTCTGGAGAACAGGGAGGGGGCAGAGAAGGTGCTGCCCCCTGTGGAGGGTGGCAAATAAAGCCCCCGAGGTGGGAGACTTGCCTGGCCTCGGCTCATCCCTGGGGCCTGGCCTCGCCTGCTGGCTGTGAGACTGCTCTGTTCATCCTCCATACACACATCTGTCCTCACAGAGGCTGACGGAGAAACACGCAGCCCAGGCCAGGCCAGGAACGGCTTCGGAGCTGGAGCGGCTGCCGCTGTGTGGGGACCTGGCTCCAAAGGCCTCCTGGAGCACCATGACAGCCAGACCAAGGTGCGGCCCGAGGCTGGGGCCCATGGGCCCCCAGCGTAGAAGGCAGGGTGGGGGCCTCAGAGAGGCATGTGCGCTGGTGCTGCCAGGTGGTGAGTCCCCAGCACTTTCTCGCCTGGCAGATCACACCCACCCCTGGGCACAGACACTACTGTGCCCTCCCGGGATCCTGAGGAAAGACAGCTGAGTTCGGTGGGCAAGTCATCTTCTGCAGGTGAGAGTGTCCTCAAAACCAGCCAGACCCCAGGCACCTACCCCGGAGCCGGGCAGCAGGAAGAGCCTGTTCCCTGCATGGACCCCCCAGGGGAAACTGAGTCAGGCGCACAGTAGAGGCCCAGAGAGGTGACGGGACTCGGTAAGGGCGGAACCAGGATTTGAAACTAAGTCTGATGCCAGGACTGTGAGGTTGACCATCGGGCAACACTGCTTCTGGTTTGTAGGGACAAGCTGGGCACCCACTGAGTCTGGGGTAACTAGGCCAAGACAGCAAGTGGACACAGGGCTACCATCCCCACCCACACACTGGGGGACTGTGAACCTGGGTTACAGCAAGGAATCTTTAGGTTAGACGCCAGGCGAGACAGCCCAAGGGCCGTGGCCAAGTAAGGAAGAGTGTGGTGTGGCATCCAGTCCTGGTCTCCCTGCTCTGGGACTGAGAGAGTCTCGGCTCCTCCCGGCTCGCTCCCGGCAGACCCCCCAGGGCGGCTGCTGCCCTCTCCCCGAAGCCCTGGTCACATCCCATCTCGGCCCCTTCAGGAAGAGGGACCCTCACACTTTCCAGGCCGTCCAATATGCCCACCTCCATCGCTTTGAACCGTTTCCCCTGCGGCCTCTCAAGTGGTGGCCCATGAGTATCCAGCCCAAGTCCCTTCTCCGTGTTGTGTGTTGGCAGGTGAGGGTCCCTTAGTGCAGGCTGCAGTGACCTCGGAGCAAACCTCCTCGAGCTCTGAGCCCTCGGCTGAGCTGGGGGCGGCCGACGGTGTGAGTGCCCAGCCTGACACAGTTGCCCTGCTGTGCAAGGTTTTGCTCCTGTTACCAGTTTCTAGTTTAATCTCATCGTGGTCATGAAGCATTTTTGTGGGACCCTACCTATGTTCAGACGTGGGTCTTTCCCACAATATGGTCTGTCTTAGTGGTTGGCCCAAGTGCTTTTGAAAAGAATGTCTTCCGCTGCTGTTGGGTGCAGTGTCCTTCAAATCTACTCCATCCTCGAGGCCTTTCCCATTGATCACAGTGGGAGGGGCACTGAAACACCGGCCCGTAGCTGTGGCTTTGTCCGTGGCTCCTTGAGGCTCTGTCAGGTTTTGCTTCGTGCATGTTGAAGCTCTGGTATCAGGCCCTGAACACTTAGGGTTATTACGTGCCCCTGATGAATTGACCCTTTATCCTTTGTCACTGTGGAATGACACTTGATCCCTGGCCACTTGCTTGCTCTGAAGTCGGCTTTGTCTGACGCTGGTCTGGCTCCTCCAGCTTTCTTATGACCAGCGTTGGCGAGGGACAACCCCCCATCCTTTTAACCTGCTTGCCGTGTCTCTTGTTTCAAGTGCGCTTCCCAGAGGCAGCATATCATCAGCTCTTGCTCTGATTTTTCTCATCTGTTCTAGCAATCTCTGCTGCCTTCCTTGGGATTCAACAAGTGTTCTGTCATGACTCCATTTTATCTGTGCTGTTGGCTTAGGAGCTGTGCCTGCTGTTTCAGTGGCCGCTGTGGAATTTTCCGCGGTGTCTGCCGGTGTGTACAGTCTACCTACGTGTGACACACCACCACCGCACATAGAGCAGAAGCCTCTTGCCGACGTCCGTTTCTTCTTTTCTGGATTTTAAGCACCTGTCGGCATGCACTTTAAGTGTTTTATAAACCCCATAATATATCGTTACTAATTTAAACACTCGACGATCTTTGAAAAATATACACATAGTCCCGTTACCTGGTGTTCTTCAGTCCTTTCTGCGGACCCAGCCTCCCTCTCCGGCATCTTTTTCCGTCTGCCCAGAGGACCTCCCTCACACCCCTGGTAGTTAGTGCTGCTCTGCTCGTGACGGTTTCTTTCGCCCTCTTTGTGCTCGGCCCTAAAGCCCACGAGTCATAAGGTTTTCCAACCTGGCTAGTGGGACAAACACAATCCCCGCCTTCTGGTCCTTCTTTCCCGGCAACGGGGTTTCCCCACGTGCACGTCACTGACCAGTTTTCTGCTGAGGGCTCCAGGGGGACACGCCACAGATCTCCGGGCGTCCCTCTGTGCAGCTGTCTCCTCTCTGACTCTGTCCCCTGAGCTCTGGCTGCTTCGATCTCTTCAGTCTCTCAGCTCCACTCCCCTACCTCGGGGGGTCTGTCAGGCTCTGCCTCAGTTTCCCCTTTCTGCACTGCAGCTGAGAACCTCTCTCAAGGCAGCCAGCAGTGGCAGTGAGCAGTCTCACCTCATGGGTTTCCTGTCTCTCAGGGATTACTGTGCTATGCTGCCTGATGTGTCTGGAAAACCATTCTTTCTCGTGTGCATGTGTGTGTGTATATTTATTATCTGTATTTTGCATTTACATATGTACTTTCTCGTTAAGTTTTTTCTTAGTGGGACAATAAATCCACAATCCAATCCCTTTTACTCTTTTGGCAGAAGCACAAGTCCTCATATGATCTTTTAAAAGCATAGGGTCCATTTTCCATCACACCCAACATTCCACGAGTGGCCAGCAGTGGTCAGTGGCCAGGCAGCTGCTTAAGCTGGGAGTTTGGGCTCTGCTGTCACCCCACCTGCTTAGTGCTGTACCTTGAATGGGTCATTCTCTCTCCCTGGGCCTGAGTCTCCCTTGTGGAAGTAAAGTAACTGGACTCGGTTAATCCCAAGCAGCCTCTACCTTGGGTCTATTTTTTTGCATGGTCAGTGGATTCAAACACCATAACTTTGTATCAGGAAAAAGGAGACAGTCGATTCCTTCTGGTGTGGCCTTGTGAAGGTCTGGGGTGAAGCTGTGTGTATGTGGGGGCATGAAACCATGCCACACATCCTGCCTCTGTGAGGCCCTCCTGTAGAACAGGACCCTGGAACCCCTGCATGACCCAACGACCACCAACCTGCTTTCTGTCCTCAGAGCCCAAGCAGGAAGGGAGGCCAGACCAAGGCCCGTCCCAGCTGCCCCAGGCCAGGCTCTACCCTTGGGACCGCCCCACCCACCAGGTACAGGGAGATGTCCCTTGGGGGCAGGGGCATAGGAGTGGAGTCCAGGGGAGGCACTGGCAGCCTGTAGTAAACCCAAATCCGGGAGGCCATCAGGGGCGGAGGCCTGCCTCTCTGAGAGCCTGCACCCAGCGGGTCTCCACTGTGGGTCCTGGGCTGGGGGAAGCTCTCCCTGCCATGAACATCAACTGACATCAGCCCAAGCAAGCCCCTTCCTCCCACCCTGGGAGGTAGGTAAGGGCAGGCATTTCAACAGGATACTTCCGGCAGGGCTGGCCCCTGCCACCCAGGTTGCACATTGCAGAGCAGGTGGCCTGGCCTATCCCAAACCCTCTACAGCACAAAGGAGTGCTGGGACTGATTGGGGCTGGATACCAGGCCAAGATGATAAGGACCCAGCCCTGCCTTCAGGAGCTCACAGCCGGGAATGGG